TTATTTTTCTTCAAGGCGTTCATGGCAAATTTACAGAGAAGCACTTCTTTGAATGCGCATCGGAAATTTTCATTGAAAATRGCGTAAATAAGGGCATTCAAAATCCCATTGGAGATCATCAGAATCTTGAACCAAAACGTATTGGCGTAGCTTTGCTTTTCTTCCGTCAAATACAAATACGGAAATACATAGCCGTAGAAGACTGGACCCCAYGATACTTGAAAGGCCACYAGGATGCTTATTATCATGCGAGTGACTTTTCTGGCAACCTKATTGGAAGATGGCTGACTTTCCACTTCTTCWGAATGCTTTCCAGGAATTCGTCTTTTCCAGACCTTGTAGGCAACTACCATATATAGAATTATTATGATCACGTGGGGAAGGATGAACCCAAGAGAGAGAAGAAGAATGCCGTCAAATGGAGATTTCTTGGTGATGCAATAATTCTTGCCGTCGATTTTACAAAAAATCATTTTTTCCATCGCAAGGTGCATTGGCACAGCAGCAGATGCAACCCAAATACCAKGTATGGTAAACTTCGTCCAGGAAGAGTAGTKYTTGTACTGGAAAGGACGAGTAACTGCCAGGAACCGATCAAACGTGATAACAACGAGGCTGTATATGGAGCAGAGCATGCAGATGTAATACAAAGGACAGCCCAGTTTGCACCAGATGAATTCGCCAAAGATTTCATCCCCGTCCCACTCCGAGCCCGATTGCACATACTTCACCGTCCAAGAGGTTCCTATCACGGTGGAAACCAAATCACCAACAGCCATGTTTAAGATGAGGTAGTTTGTCGTAGTRCGCATGTGCGGATTTAACGAGACCACCAATATGATGAGAATGTTGCACAAAACAGCTACTATAGCAACAGATGTCATGAAAAATGTGCTAATGCCCTTATCGATGGTGAGCGCTGGTGGAATACCAATTTCTACATCAAATAAAAAAAACATGTATAAGCAAATAGGAGAATATCTTAATTCGTTTGTACAGATTGTATGTTTTTCAAAAGATCAGAAAATCAAAATTGGAAAGAAACAATCTTTCTAGCTGTCCAATAACAAACGATCTTTTAAACATGGGACACTCTCTCTTTTGAAGAGCATTTTAAGTGGAATCCATTTTGCTTAAACTTTTCCGATGTTTTCCAAAATGTACAAAAACTTTGATCAAAGTTTTAATTTCACCTTAGCAAAATGCGCTTCTAGATTATTTGTCTTGTTCTAAGAATTCAAGTGTTTTGAAATATCAGGTTGTACTTTTTAAGTGTCACGAATAAAGATCGCAGATAAATTGAAACTTGGTCAATAGATTTTCAGATCTAAATCAAGTCTTTTCAATCCTTAAAAATCCTTTCCCAGTCATTACATGAGGAACTGTTTAATTGCAATTCTTACCGTATTCAGTTATCTCACAAGTAGTAGTAGTGTTTTCAACAAGACTCTTATTTTGTGAACCCTCAGTTCTTGACTGAAGGCAAAGAAGAAAGCAGATCAGCAACCCCAGAACTGAAGCCTTATTCATAGTTTTTGTTCGCAAATTGAAGTGGAGCGCAGAGTAAATTTGCTACTAATAATATTTAACAAGTGTTTCCCTTTATATTCGGGGTGATTCTTGCATATGTTAATAACACATGTCATATTGTTATAAGACAAAATTAGTAAATCAATATTCATGAACGTTTCTAGTAAGCTACTCCCTAGGTTATCATTATGTTTCACACCTGCGTTCTTGTGGTAATAGAACTTATATTTATTTTGACATAATCTTGATTAGATATAAAATATGACATCTGTTTTGTACACATCGTTTCGTTTAGCTGTTTAACGTTTACTAGTATTCCAATACATTTATCTCGAACATAACTTAGGTTGCTATTTTTATAGGTTTTCTACACTGTCTTGCTTAGCGTTGTGTCCCTAACTAAGCCTAAGTCTAGTTACAGCTTGTGACTCTTTAGTTGTCACTTCCTTTTAATCCCTCTCTTTAATTTTGAATATTCCATTAAGCTGTCAGATAAGAACTATAGGTTTGACAGTATAACGAGACTACAAGGCACCTTATTTCAGTTTCCACATGTTCATCTAGGATATCCCCACGTGTCTTATAGCACTGTAATATTACACCAATTTCGGATAGACTCCACCCTTGTAACCCTACACCTCAATGCGTACCCCAAAACGCCCTTSGTTRGKTTGGAGCCTTGTAGCATCGTTCATTTTGTGTATCTTTATAATATAACTTGATAGAAAGTTAGTTCTCTGTTAGAGCTATCTTCTGTCTTAGTTTCATCTTTTTATTTAACTTAAAACTATGTCGGGGCATAGCCTTTTCTCTCTCAGCCTTAGCTGAACACCTTATTAGTAAATCAAACTTTAGTACGTCAAACTTATATTCTATCCAATCGTATTGCTATGTAGCCTGCCAATTTGCTGTCACTCTGACTTGTAAAACATTCACTATATAGGTAGATTGACATTTTGTACAGGTTAGTTGTTCTTTAGTCGGCTATCGTTCGATAGTTGGTAGCTAAACTCAGTGTATACAACATCTTTTTCAAGTTTAGTATTAAATATATTTTGATCCAGTACCGGCTCTTCCTGAGTAAATCCCACAAGTTACAAGACAAGAACCCCTGTAACAATATCATATATATTAGATATCATAAACCAACAACAAGGTGTTCTTGTTGAATGTGATCCTTTCATGATAATCACAAAGCAAACAAGTTATTTATTTTTTTATGTTTTCTTAAGAAAATACATTGATGTTATTTAATTAAAAAAGCTTCATTTTTTTGTTATAGGAACTTTTCATTCACAGTTTATCTGTTAACGTAGCGAACAAAACAACAGAGTTAACTCTGTTTTTGTYTTTTTTGTTCGCTACATTAACAGATAAGCTGTGAATGAAAAGTTCCTATAACAAAAAATGAAGCTCAGTAAGTCTGTTCTTGTCTCGATAAAAGATTTATCAGATGTTAATTAAAAAGGCAGACAAATCTAAAAAAAATATTTGAAGTGGCTTATTACTTTTACTTTCTTTGAATTCGGAGCTCGCTGCCGCCTACCACCTACTGAAAACACCAAATCAAAGCTCATCTACCTCTGACGAGCTTAAATGTGATTCAATGGAAAAGAAATGTTTTTAAACTTGAAGATGAGATCCGTTGATAAATTTRAACAAACAAGGATGGGATTTTACAAGCCTGTTTAATATAATTATACACGTTGTACACCTCAAAATGATACACATCTTAAACCGACTAGTTTATGTCTTTTTTTTAGTTCTAACCGCAATATACTATAAAAACAGATGTATCAATACATCAGGAGGAGCCGACAGGGTCTGTTCTTCMAAATAACTGTTCTTGTTGACAATCATCTCACAAGCAAATGTGGTGCCCTTCATTCTTTTAAATAATTTTGTTTTTGGCAAACGTTTTTAAGGTCAAAAAGGCTTTATTAYATTTCTATGGTCAAAAACGGCTTTAATTTTTCTAGTTAGGAAATTTTTATTTTCCTGGAAAAAATTGTTAGAAAGTAATGTATTCCTTGTCTGGAGAGTTCTTTTATCCTGAATTTCTCGCGGGCAACCAGTTGTGACTTACAGCTGGCTGGGCCATAAAAACAGATATATTTCTCACAGGAACCCAGGGCTCCTCCTTTTAAATGAGAAAAAGTCACAAATTATATGTGCAGCTCTAATTTATGATCAAGGTAGTCTTGGTCTTGCTATAAAAATCTAAAACCTAAGAGTTTTCAATGGRTTTAACTTTCAAGCTGTTGTACACTTGTAAATAGCTTATGCCTTAACAGTTTCAATGGCAACCACTTTCACTGTTGATKTTTTGTTGTTGACTGAGCTGGTGAGGGTGGAAGATCGCGATCTGTTACGGACGATTCTGAAGGCGGACACTAACGACTCATTGTGCAGTGCAGCTTTAAAGGCGCGCCTGAACTTCTCGTTAAATATGGCATATATCAAAGCATTCGAGGTCCCATTGAAGGTCATCAGAACTTTGGAAGACATTTTATCTCGCATATTGGATGGTCGGTCACTTTGCTCTATGAAGGGGACAACATAGAGCARAAACAATGGAGTATAACAAAGATTAAACGCCAGTAGAATACAGATGATCATTCTTGTCACTTTGTTAGCTGTTTGCTTGGCGGCACTGTAGGGTTTGGCATTGGATGAGTGTCGCTCGCCAGGGACACGTCTTTTGTACAATGCAATGGCTATGGCTACATATAAGGCAATCATGATCACRTGGGGTAGGGCATATCCAAGKACCACAAACAAATATGCATCTTCTTTCGATCCAACTGCCTCGCATAMMAATMRACCWKTTYKCTSYMRTACCARWTCTTTAYYTACYAACTGRTGGAAAGGAAGTGCCAGCGAAGCWAGCCATACAAGTGGTATGAGCGTCTTATTCCACCTCTTGCCTTGTGTGTGCGTCAATGGACGGACTACGGCCAGGAATCGATCAAACGTGATGCCGACGAGGCTGTATATGGAGCAAAATAACGASGCGAAGAACAGGTAACGCTTCAACCTGCATACTACCGATCTCGCTGGTGGGTAAAGGTCCGTCACCCAGTTGCTTCCAACTTCTAACTTTGCCAAAGTGTAACTACCAAAGGGTATTGTTATGATGGTGGCTAATAAGTCCCCACAGGCCATGCTRACAATAAGGAAGTTTGTAGATGTATGCATCTGAGCGTTCACTCGGACCACATGGATGATGAGGATGTTCGCTAAAATGGAGACTGTACCAACGGTGACAAGACTGTARACCAGTACCATGGGATGTTCGAGTTCTACTGGAACTATCAAAATCAAAATACACATATGACTGGTTAAATCTACTGAAAAATTAATAAATAGTCGGTCAAAAAGGAAAGAAAGCTCCGAGAGTGACAGTTAATTTTGGTATTTTTAGTTAAACTTTCATAAACTACTCCTCCAATGTTGCCGATGAATGAGACGATTAATCATTTTGCTATTTTGCAGTAAATGACTTTAACTCATTCAGCCAGGAYATCAAGACAATCACAAATATTTGTACTTTTAAACGTAGAATTTTCAAATTTTTAAACTAGGATTTAGCATAAATTTCCATGACTTTTTCTATTTTTTTATCTAGATTTTTTCTTTATTTCTATATATTTATCTGAATTTTAATTCATAGTTTGCTATTATTATTATTAATATTATAGTCGAGGTCCTTTTTGAAAATCATTTTTAATGAAAAAGTATCCTCAATAAAGATTATTATTATTATTATCATTATTATCTTTTTATATTCTCTTTGCGTCAACCAAATGATCGAGCAATTTTAATTGCAAAACAGAATTACAACATTTAGCAATGCAGGCCGGAATTGCTAAAAAATTTATAAAAGACATAGTTCACGCTTGAATGTAGTTACTCGCTTTGCCTAGTTTTACATTCATTTGTGATCCTAATCGAAAATGGATGAGATCTGGTGCCTTGAGCAGTTCCTTTGATATGCCCAGAAGCCAGAACCAACGATATATACACACATATATAGAACTACCATAGAAATTTGGATGAAAATATCACTAAATTGAAGTTGTCAATTTAATAATCGCATTTACCAGGTTGTCACACAAACCGACTTTGGATAATTTTTCAATTAATTTGTATAAAATCAATTTATTTTAATGATGATTTTTTCTTAATGTCTTCGTGTAACATAATAATTTTGCTGTCTTAACTATATTAATTAAAATGCTACATGAAAAAAACGACTCACCAGAAGTAGTTGTCTTTCTTGCGCTGGTAAGATTGTTAGCTTTAGTGCCATTGTGCATGTCATAATCCTCAGATCTCGATTCTAAGCTGAGTAGAAGCGAAATCATTAGCCCTAAAATCGAACCCTTCTTCATTTTCAAGATCTTCTGGCAACGTTTTCAGCTTTATCTTTAAAGGAGCCGTCAGCAGCTCAACTGAMAAATTTTACTCCTASTCTATTGTCTTCAATTTCACGGCAAACATCAATAAGCCGTGATGCGCCCGTCGCTGAATAGCAAAAGAAGGTATTGCAATAAAATATATAAGATTGCAATAAGATGAAGTCTCTCCCACGCAGAAGTCAATTAAAAATCATTATAAAGTACAGCATGGTGATATGTGATCCTATATTGGTGTTTGCTTTTGAGGACTTCAAATGGACATCAATAATAAAAAAAACCTGAGGGCGATAACATTCTGTTGACATTTCCTGAAAGGATGGTTGTGACGGTGATCCGAAGGCCTATCTCCACATGGTACGACATCTTATCGATCAAATGTATGATGCTCTCTCAATAACAGTTATAACCAATCGTTTCTGAAAACGAACTTTTTTAAATTAAAATTATGAAACAGTGACCATTTGAGTTTTTAAAGCTAAAAACTATCAAAAACTATATAAAAAAATACTATTAAACTGAACTATTAAGAGCTATTAAAAACTATCTAAAAACTACTAAAAACTATTAAAACCTATTAAATTAAATTCAACTATTAAAATAATTCAACTATTAAAAACTATTTTAATAGTTTTTAAATCGTCTTCGTTCTACGTCAGATGTCAACTGCAGTAAGTCAACAAGTGCAAATGTCAGTATTTGTTTTAAAGAATTAAAAAAACCCATTTATAGTAAATTTGTAACACAACCCAGTGATAAAGAAGATTTGAAGGCGCGTCTGAATTTCTCGTTGAAGATAGCATATATCAAAGCATTGGATGTCCCATTAAAAACCATCAGCATCTTCGCAAAGATTCGGTATCCTATGTCTTGCTCAAGTAACTCATCTAGCATATACGGCTCAATGTAAACGAAGAACAATGGAGCCCAGCACACATCAAACGMCAGAATAATGCAAACAATCATTCGGGATACTTTCTTGGCTGTCCGTTTGGCACCATTGTCGCTGTGTTGATCACCGGTTGAGTTTCTTTCTCCAGGAATACGTCTCTTAAATAATTTCAAAGCAATAGCTACGTAGAGGACTATTATAATAATATGAGGGACAACATAGCCGAGAGAGATGAAAGAAATGGCATCTGTCATCGATTTACTCTTACTACAAAAAGTCAGTCTATGTCCGGTGTCATTTCGCACTTGTAAGTTTACTGTTTTAATCACATGATGCAAGGGGAKAATCAACGATGCTAACCACACCACTGGTATCGCCATCTTGTTCCACCTATTGCCGTGMGTRTAAGCTATTGGACGGATTACTGCCAAGAATCGGTCAATCGTAATGSCAACAAGACTAAATATRGAACAGAAAAGTGACGCAAAAAACAAATAGCGTTTAATTTTACATGTGAAGAGTCCGGTTTTCGTCTCCATTGAAGACACGAMGTTTGTTCCAGTGTACAGCGAGAAAGTCATAGACGGAACGGTAGCAACAATAGCAACAAGATCTCCACATGCCATATTAAGAATGAGGTAGTTTGTGGATGTGCGCATGTGCGGGTGAACTCTTATTACGTGGATTATSAACGAGTTTGCAAAAATGGAAACTATGCCGACAAAGAGAAGACTAAAGGTGAGAATGGGCGAGACTTTGTGATGACGCTCTGAAACACAAATGAAATTAGAGTTCACTTATAAAGCTCAAGGAGCAACTCCTTCTATTCTTTGCATTGATAACGCAAATTTGCATTTAAAAAATGTGGAGCACAAAGGAAAGTACAGTAAAATGCGACAGATCAGGTCACYTACCATTATCATTAGGCTGTCCCGTTGAATTGTTAGTTAAGCCAACGTCGCTTGTACCCTCAGATTGCGACTTTGTGCAGAAATAGAGAAAGAAAAATATACCCAATACTRACGCCTTCTTCATCATGAAAGGTGTTTTAGATTTTTATCAGTTTTTGATAGAAGTAAGGACGCCAATGGTTTAGAAATTGATTCAGAATGCGATGGCGCGAAATATCGACGCGTCAAGCATTTGACAGTGAAAAGAATCCTTGGTGTAATGCGGAATTACGTTTCCTTTTATAGGTAGAAGCGTCAGCTCAAACAATAAACTGATTGAACGCCAGCCGTGTACTAAAATCAACAACGTCTTGTAAGGCAATAAAAAAGTTCTCAAATAAAATTCAGTTTATTAATTATGACAACTTAGCTAACCTAATTGTCATGTTAGGACTGTTGACTTTTTAATGTTTAGTAATAAACGGGAATCAAAATGAAAAATAAAATAAAATGTCAAACTTAAAATACTATATAGCAATCTAAATTGATAATTGGAAATTCAAAACTAGAAATGAGTATAATAAATGTTCTGGGATTATTTTTAACTTTGAAGAMCTCAAAATGAAAACATGATCTCGAAACATAGATCACTTTTATAGTGTTTACYCAAATTAATTTTCCTCATGAGTTTACAATTCGTCTTTCAAACTTTATTTAATCTACATAGTACAAAGTATATTAAAACAATTAAGCAGCAATTAAAAGAAAGCAAAGAAATCTTATATGAGTAAATTACGAGCAATGGACATAATCAAGCCACATTTGACGCTCTCCGGTAATTGTTGGTACCGGGACTGCAGAGTTTATTACAGACCGGTTTCCCGCGCCGGTGAGCACTTTACAATTATTTACGAATATTCCAAAACATTTATCTAATAATCACCGACACTGCTGATATTTTCATCTGTTTTCCTGACTTACATTTACTCTAAAATTTTCCGCAGTTACTCTATAGTTTCTCGAGTTTAACAGTGTCTGTTTTGCTCGCCAATGCATATAAATATGAGTCTTCTCCTTCTATTAGGACAGACCAAGGGTTTCGCAAAGCCTTCGAAGCAGTTGAGGGTTTCACGGTGCGTTACTACACTTGGAGATTTCGTCCAGGGGTTGAAATTTCATTATARTGACTGGGTTTGCTTTGGCGAGTCTATGCGAAGTATCGATGCTCGATGAACCACTTTTGTCCCATACTCTTYTCGAGTTGCTCATCAAACTAATCTTCTTCAAAGACATTGCTACTGTCTCGTTATAAACGACCGCTTTGAATGCTCGCCTGAAGTTTGCATTGTAAACGGCGTAAATCATCGCATTTGAAACTCCATTGAACATCATCAAGATCTTGGAAATCATAGCACCTTCGATCTTTCCCACGTACTTAAACAGCGTGTTCCTCAAAGATGGTCCGATGTAGAGAAAGAATACTGGGGCCCAACAWAGTTCAAAMGCCATAAGAATGCAAATAATCATCCGCGTCACTTTACAGGCTGTTTGTTTAGCGCTATTTTGGTGATTGGTATTGGATGGATTTCTCTCTCCTGGAACTCTCCTTTTGTAAAGCTTGAAGGCAATYAGAAAGTACAAGACTGTCATAATMACGTGAGGGACGGCGTAGCCAAGGATAATGATAAAGAGCGCATCCGGCATGGATTCATTGGTCAAACAGAAGTCTTCACCGTTGTGATGTCTTATTACCACGTTCGTTATTGCATTGTGTAAAGGAAGAATTAGCGAAGCAAGCCATATAACGAATATCGTTGTTTTGTTCCATTTATTTCCTTGCGTGTACGCTATGGGGTATATCACAGCCTGGAATCGATCAAAAGTGATAGCAACGAGACTGAATATAGAGCAAAACAGAGGAACAAAGAACAGGTATCTCCTTAGCTGACACATGAAGAGACCAATGTCTCCTGGGATCATCCATTGGTGTCCATGATACATATAGTATAWCGAAAGAGGAAAAGCGACGACTGTTGCCATGAAATCCCCGCACGCCATATTCACGATGAGGAAATTGATGGATATGTGTAAGTGATGGTTTGCCTTGACGACATATATGATTAAGGAGTTGCTAAGGATTGAGAGTATAGCAACCAAAACAAAAAAGATCACCAAAGTCGTTCGTGTGTAGTGGTTCCTGAAAACAGGAAGCTTGAAAGAACTGTCATCTTCTGGAAAAAAAAAGAATAAATAAAATAAAAGATCCTCTCATTAATCAAACATGGATTCATAAATCCATGTCTAAATTCTTTGGTAGTGTTTTGGGTAATCCCTTTTTACATTCCTTAGGTTTAGAGTCCAATATCCTCAACTTATATTTTGGGTATCGAAGAATACACATGAAACTCTTATGAAAACAATGGCGACTAAATCAGAACAAATACGCGCAAAAGCGCACGAAATCCCACGAGTTGCATTTGTGTCTTTTTAACCGAGAGCAGGGAGTTTAATAATCAGTTCATCAGCTTATAATACATTCAAAACTGCATAAATGAATCTACATAGTATAGCTTATTTTGGTAAGATTCAGAGGGAATGACACGCCCAACATGCACCTCCAAAAATGCGCAACAGCGCATATATTCTCTGATACGCGTAAATATTCAACATCTCTATACAATCTGTTGGTTTTGTTTATAAAGGTTTTCAGTGATAAAGATCATTATCTATTCAAAAACAAGTTTGTTATTGGCYATGTGTCAGTTATCTCAGCGAGCTTGCAACAATAGTTTTACGTCAAGCACTACGAAGTTAAGTGATCATTATGCAGTGAGTGAAARACTGCACGTACWAATAARGCTGCGCATACGAGAATCCGGGCATTTTGAAGCCTTTTGTTTGTTTACATAAATAAAACCATCGTCGTTTTCGTTCAAAAAAGTAAATGATCACATTTTAATGGTCAAATATTGTTTCACAGGCTTAATGTCTTTACTCTAGTGTCAGTTCTCGAGCTATAGAATTCGAATGAAGTCAACTAAAACCCGTGAAATATGCATTACACTAATACACTGTASTAAGGTCTAATTGCATAGTTTTCTTTTGTTTCCTTTTTGACTATCACGCTTAATTAAATACTCATTTTTCTCGTCGTTTAATTATGACTTTTGATTAACCTCTCCAACACACACCTGCCCAAGGCAAAACAAACAAACCACTAACACGRAGAAAGCCGTCATCAACARTWATCCGCAGCAGTAACGCAAATACGGTTATTTTTCTAGTTTACGGTGTTCTTTGTGATATGTTTTATCAATRGATCTCGAGGATTTCCGGATCGGTGAGTAGAGTCYGCATGGCATAAGTCAACCTCGTCAGCSATTCTTTGTAGGGGTTTTATTCAATTATTTCATTAAAGTTTTCATTTTTCAATTAAGCTCTGKTTTATTAGACTTTGCGGGAGTTTTCGATTAATTATATTAGTCTTTTGCCTGCGTTTTAAGGCCCGTTTACACTTGYGATTTTTTGCAGAGCGACTCTCGCGTCGATATCGTTTCGAGTTTCGAACATGCTTGAAAATTGCCTGCGACTTCGCGCGGCGATTTTTCATCGTCGCAACAATCGCAGGGCTGTTAACACGTACGATTTTAGTTTTTCGCGCAATAACTAAAATCGTGAAAGCAAAGTGGCGATTATCGCGCTGCAAAAATCGCAAGTAWAAACGGGTCTTTAGGGGATACGTTACAGCGTAATGTTAAGAAAAGGAGGCGAAAGACTGGTATGTCGCATGTCATATAACTAAATTGAATATATGATAGCCGAGACCATTCTTACTCATACGCATGATTATGTTTTTCTGTGTTTAATGATGTACGCTTGCCAAACAAAGTACGCACCATTAAGTATTTGACAGTTTTGAAAATTACTCTTAATTGATTGATAATTATTTATGTAATTTGTTGAGATGTTGAAAATAAAGCTACTCTTACGTAACTTACAAGTGTGTCGAAAAACATGTTTTTATCCTTCAGCATTGCATAACAAACATCAAATACTATAAGTACTCCAATTTCTCCCTCTTAAAATAGGTTCTGCTAGTATAGTTTCAAATACTATAAGTACTCCAATTTCTCCCTCTTAAAATAGGTTCTGCTCATGATAGTTTCAAATACTATAAGTACTCCAATTTCTCCCTCTTAAAATAGGTTCTGCTAGTATAGTTTTTTTTCATTGCAAATAGCTCTCAAAATTCTACGGTTATTACTTGTACATCAAAACATCTATCGGCTCTTAAAGCGATTAGGGCGTTGACATAAACACCTGATCACAACGTTTCTTTTCAGTCTTTCTTACCTTCTGTTTCGGTGTTATTTTGTGTCATTCTAGAGTCTGAACCATTGTAGTGAGTGCTGTTGCTGCTCGATTTGAAGCAGAATAAAACGAGAAAGAATAAACTCGACTGGGCATTTGCACGAAACATCATTAGAAATGATTCGTAAAGATTAATCTTGTAATGAGTGGGCGCTATAGCAGGTGAAAACGGAAGCTTGTCCAAAATGCCTGTCGCTCATAGGTCGATATTTAAAGAGATAAAAGCGGTAGTTGAACAACGTCATATAAGATGTTTTTGCCTCACATTCACAACTAGGAAAACCGCTTCGTCATGATGTACAATGAAAGATATAGTAGCGTGGAAAAGTACATTTAAGCCGTAAAATTTCCGTGAAATAAAATCGAAAGTCATTTAGACAAAAAGTCGTAATAAAAACGACTGTGAAATAAAATCTGAAGTCGCTCAGACAAAAAGTCGCAATCAAACCGACTTATCAGATTGTATTTGCTGACAAAGAAGGAAAGAAAACWATATATTCAGATTGGGATACTAATTATTAGTCTAACTAATCTTTCAAAATCAAATAAAAACGACAGTCTAATAGACAAAGTGAAATATAAAAGATAACAGAGTTGSCGACTATTACAGTGAAATCGTTCAATTCGCGAAAAAAATCCAACTATCAAAGTGTGATAGTCAAATAGACACCAAAGAAAACAATCATTATCATATAATTATCTACCAAATACCTATATTTCCCCATTTTCGTGAAGTTGATAGGAAAATAACAGATTCGAGCAGTTTCTCTATATAGTGGAAGTAAGAACTAAAAAAATATTTTACAACATAATTTGCTTTCATATGTAAATATATGATAAACAGAATATTACATGGTCGCTTAGAGATACGAATTTTATCTTCTCGTGTTGAGAGTCTTCTCAACACTCGAAGATAAAATCCGTATCTCYGCGCGCCCATGCAATATCCTCTATGTAATTAATTAGAGCGTACTAAGTTGTATGTTATCTATTTCATGGGTTTATGGAGAACATACTCTACCATTGAATATAAACTTATAAACAGGATGCATAAAGTATTCTCCCCYTGATATTTCAAATCCACCCACAATATTTGTCATACGTATTTCTCACCCCACGAAAATATACCTTTTTTGAAGTTTTTGTACAAATAATATATATTTTCTATTCAAGTTAATAAGAAGTTAAAATAAMAATCTCTGACAAAAATATATGGTTTTATTATATGAAAAGTCTACAATTTATAGATATAAAGATTCAAAAKAAAAAAAAATAAAGCCCTTGTGTACATGAGTGTTATTTTCATTATTATCACGAATATCATTAGATACACTGATTTGAATAAAATGAACTGCTGTCATATTGATTTTGATCGTTTTATAAAATATAAAAAATATCAACCGGAAATACAACCMACTTCCGGTTCAAATCGGAAGTAAGATTCTATCGAGGCCATTTAATCACACGAGTCTACTTTTCACGTTCAGTTGAYATACATCTCTTTAGTCAAAAGCTCTCGGGTTTTTCATCCGAACCATGGTTTTTTTCTCCATTGTTGCATTCTATTCTTTGCCATTCCTAATTTCTTTTTCAGATTTTTGTGAGCAATTCCAAACTTCTTCTTCATGCGTTGTTTTCTCATATGCCAGTTCTTTCCTTGCTGTTGCCTCCAATTCTTGTATCTTTGCTGGAGCTGTCCTTTCGAGAACAAACCACGAATCTTACTCACCAASGCCGTCAATTTTGAATGGATTTTATGTATATATGGCTTCATCATCTAAAAAGAGAGAGATTTGGTTGGCTCACAACTAAAAAAATGACATTTATACGACTGATGCATTATTGTCACTAATGTATGTCACAAGAATCTTGGTCTCACAGCCTGTGGTGGGAATATTGTTTTGTTTACAGCGGGGACACTTCAGCCGAGAACAACTTTTTTATACGTGTATCCCTTGGATAAATAACTTTGAAATCCGTTACATGTTGAGCCTGCGCAGTGACGATCTCTCCACGGGGATCCCACCGCTCGGGGCTTACTTGCATAGGGAGAATCTACGTAGCACTCAGTTGATGTAATATATTCATAAAGATATAATACAAACACATAATACAATAGAACGAGAAACAATGGAATACAATACATTTTATGAATACATTACATCAACTGCGTGGTACGTAGGTCACCCCTACTTGCATATCGATCTGTGAGGTAATTGTAAACCCATTTGTGCCATTGTRCCATACGTACCTCATGCATGCCAGGTCGACGGCCCATCATGCATTTTTTCATACCCCAGAAGCACTTCATCTTCTTCTGGCATGAATCCGACTCGTTGAGACACTTATGAAGTTCCTTCTTGCATTTTTCCTGCAAATATACGAAAGTCCGAATTGATTGTTGAGTACGTAAATATACATTGTAACTTAGAGCAGAATAGATTCCGTAAAGGCTGATTTACACGGTACGATTTGTCGAGCGCGACTTGTAGTATACGATTTTCCTACTACAAGTCGTAGGATTTTAAGCAGTGGTTCAAAATCCTACTACAAGTCGTAGGTTGCGTACGACTGTTGTAGACAAGTCGTAGGGGCATTTACACTGCGCGATTCAAGTCGTATACTACAAATCGCACGAGACAATCGTGCCGTGTAAATCAGCCTTAAGAATCTACATCTATTTTTATTCTTGTGGAAGTTTATATTTTYAATCCTGCTTTGCGTTGGTAAGGAAAATAGAGCTAAAGGCATTACGGAAGAATTTAAACGGACAACAAAGCATTCTGGTTTTGGTGGCATGCGACGTCAAAACAAAACTTATTAATACTATAAATACAGCGTTTAGCGTCAAGATTACCTTCAGCTTTGGATTCCAGCGTGGACGCCGTCCATAGCYGTACATTCGGTCATCATCATCATCATCGTCAGAGTCTGTTTGTGGTGGTGGAGTGGTGGGTCGTATACGTTCATAGCATTCGTGTTTTTGATACATACATGCTAATTTTTGGTCGCATGTGGTTGCTTCCTCGCTGCAGTTTTTGTATTCCATTTTACATTTCAACTAAAAAGATAAATCATTGACATTTTTTAAAAGTTTCTTTAAATGACTTAAGTTACTTTAAGTAACTTAACATCGATTGATTCTATCAATCTATAATTGCGCCTGTTCAAACCATTGAGCCACCGAGAAGTAAATTTTCCTACTACAGAGCATGTAATTGCCCTAGCTCATTATTACGTCAGATCAAAACATTCTTTTGTTTTAACGCTAAGGATTATGGTCGCCAGAAGGGATCAGAGTGACTGCATATCAAATAAAATGCACATGAACAATCATTTATACATGATATATATCAAAACACGATTCATTGAAGTTCTACTTTAGTAGACGATATAAACGAGTCCAAATTTCCACCGTTTTTTAGCATCGTTTTTCGATGTAAACATACTGTGACGTCATAATGAAATAGGGCAATTGCTCTTGCCAAATCGCTCACTAGACAAAAAACAATTACAATTTTGCGATAAGATAATAGTAAGATTTCGTTTCTGTTTCTATGGATAACTCCGCTGTAACTATTGTTTTGTCTAGACCTTTCGCCTTATTACATCAGTTTTTTTAATCACTCAAGTTTAAAGTTTTTCAATTTTTCACACGAAAACCATTTAAGTCCAAGATAAAACCATATTTACCATTTTTGGGCAAGGTGTTGGACGGTGCCCCTGCATAATGCACTTCTTCATGCGCATGAAGCAAAAAAGCTGTTTTCGACAATCGCTTGTACTATTAATGCATTTCTCGAAATTCTCCTTGCATTTAGCCTATAAAGCAAAAAGAATAAATGAATGACAGAAGAAATGATTGAGTCTAAAGTAAACATGGATCATTCCGTCCAATTGTTATACAACTAGCTAACTAATCAAGCAGCCAGCCATTTTACAAATACTGAAAGAAAAGAAATGAGCGTACCACAACTTTCGGGTTCCAACGACGAGGTCTCCATCTTCGTTTGAGTGCGGGAGAAGGAGATGCTGTGGCAGTAGGTGTTGGGGATGGACTGGTGCGGTTTTTCTCCATACATTTGTGTCCTTTCCAGAAGCAGGCAAGCTTATCGCTGCATGATTTTGACCTTATCATGCACTGTCTCCATTCTTTCTTGCACTTCATCTAAAACCATAAGTATTGGTTGTAAGAGTGCTTTTCCACATTAAAGGGCTACTTGGACGAAAATTTCGAATCTTAGGAAAAGACTTGGAAATCAAATAGACCTATTCATATGGGTCTAATAATCATGAAGCAGCAGATTTCAAGAMGATATTGATAAAAAATCCTTGATAATTTGGGCAAAAAATATTGGAGTAGATGACGTCATTTACTCAATCCYTTTGTTCTTCCATCTTTTGAATCAAAATTTATCTGATGTGGGATAATTCCGGCCAAAACAAATATTTTCCCGCAATTGTTTTTAATTGATATCAATGAGTCATATATTTGTATTGCTTGAAGTTTTGAAATAAGGCCATTTTCATGCAAGTAGCACTTTAACAAGACTGTTAGTTAAGCTATTGTATGCTACTGTTCAATTTGGTTGAATCCGCCATAAGATAATTACTAAAATGCGAGATCTTTACCATTTTCGGGCATGGTGTGGGACGACGATGATGATGAGGACGTCGACGATGATGACGACGACCATGTCCATGGGGTCGGCGGCGGTGATGAGGTCGACCACGATGACCACCTTTCTTAAATTTCATGTAACATCGTTGCTTTGCCATGTAGCACATGAGTTTAGATCTGCAGGTGCCATCGGTTTTAGCGATACAGCCCTCAAATGTCGTCTTGCAAGCCTTAATAATATACATAAAATGAAAAGCTGTTARTGAAGCTAAGGTACACCAAACTCGTACCTATTTATTACTCACTTTTTCCCGCAACGCTAAAAAAAATTAAGAGAGAAAAAGTAGCGTTGCCCTTCCCATGATGCATTGCGCGCGGTCAAAAAACAGAGAGTTGCGACTCTGAGTCTGCATCATGTCTATGTGGTCTTGACGTTATTTCCCGACTCATGCAAGCTATCAAAAAATGCTTAAAATAGGAAAATAGATAGTGTAAACAAATCTTGATTTATTACCAAACAGATAAAAACAATAATTGCGGCAATAACAATATTCATAATTTTATTATTTTGATAAATCTCTTCATTCTTACCATTTTTTCWGGACTTTTCGTTGGCATATTAGGGTTYTTYGCTTTGTATTCCCGGTAGCATTTGGATTTTTCCTCAAAACATTTGAGTTTGCCGTCACAGTCATAAGGACGAACTCKTTTTTTGCATTCCCAGAATTTCTTTTTACACTGAAATGAAACATGTTTTCTTGTGATATTCAAACAGAAATAATTTTGGCTGTAAAAAGAAACGAAAAACACAGCTGGATATGTCACAACAGCAGGATATGTTACAACGCGTCCTTGTCCGAGGAGTTGGACTCGTGAACAGAAATGCTCCAGAGCTTTCGAGGATGGTACTAGACTTCTGAGCCTTTTACGTCACTATTTCATTTTCAATGCATTGCAGAATTAGTTTCTAGAGAAAACAAAAGAAATCCCACATGTTCTGTCCCAAACATATCTTATAATGCATTGCGTATACAGTACATGACGTAAGAGTTTCAGATCACATCCACATCGATAAATTTGACTGCTTTAGTGTGACGTCACATCCGTTTTGGCGTCAGCACTTCCATGTTAATTTGACAGTGGGTAACAATAGAGCCCAGGATCGTTTATGCTGACTAATCATAAGGGTCAAGGTCGGTCCTTGGAAGGTCAAACTCTCAAATTACTGCTTGTCAGTGCATATGTCTAAAAATCACTGGGACAAATTGCGCGCTTTAAAGGTTGTAAATATGATATAAGTATCCAAAATTCTGTAAATTTAATGGAAATCATTTACATCAAATTCACGGAATTTTGGACACTTACATCATATTTTCATGAAATTTACAACCTTTAAAGCGCGCGATTTTTTCCAGTGAATGTGAGATCGCAGTTCTCTTTCGTCAATATAACGCTTACTGACATTCTTCATGGAATATTATCATTTGAAAGAAAATCACTCTTTTAAAATGGAGACTGATAATATTTGCATTCTGACTTCTAGTGCTTTTGCTTAGCTGTGGTTCACTATATATAATATGAACTTCTTTCAATACTTCTAATAAAAGGTTTGAAATGGATGAGAAGTTACAAACGCTTATTTTGATCAGTTTGAGCTTGCAGTTGAATCCAGACATGACAAGTTTCGAAAATGGAAAATGAGGTAACCAATCTCTCGGGTCAAGYTTTTGCAGTMTAAAAGCTTGAACGACAGCTATTGTCAGGATTGAGAAGTGACAACTGAAAACTTGGCATTGAAAGAACTGCCATATCCGAATTGCACATACATAAGGAATTTCTTTTTAACTTTTTGGAAGCACAGCTTTTACTTTTCAATCAATCATAACGGATTACTTCAAATTCGTTTTGCAATCGTTGATAACTCAAATGACGTCATAGAATTATTTTATAATCATATTTACAAGATTTATACCATGTGTGTTTTGTACAGAGGTAAATCAGTTTAATGGGGCATCTGGAGGACATTAGAAATGTGGATAATGTGTACATATTTAAGAAGTTATAACTCTGGCATAGGAACGTTTTCAATCCTGACACACGAATACGGTACCCTGCGAGCAGAGTGTATTTCCTTACCTCAATAAAAATTCGCGAATTTTTATTGAGGTAAGGAAATACACTCTGCTCGCAGGGTAACGAATACGGTAACATCCATCGTCAAACTTTATTAACGGATATCAGTTTCACTGATCTAACTTTGGGCTTGGATGTTTTTCATAATAAAGTTAATTKGTCTCTCAGCTAGAAAGGCAGGGGAACAAGCTCGGAGAAAAAAAATAACTGCCAAACACAATAAAWATTGCATAACTAGGTCAATTTGGGTTAATTGTCCTTGGCTCATAGCATGAAAAAAGTCGGCTAGACTCTAAAATTTGCTTTGCTAAGCATCATGTAAGCATGGATGACTTTAAGAAGCAGATTTGGAAGCAACCACAGCAAACAGCTGATCCAAATAAGTGATGCAGTGTAAGACATAACTATAAGAGATTCATTCGAGCTCATACCAATAGTGGATCGCTTACTTCTTTCATTTGATATTGGACAATATTTCATGTAAAATAAAGCAAAAAACAACAAAACGTACCTGGCACTTCGGTTTTGGTGTTRTTGTTGGATCGTCATCGTCATCATCATCGTCTTCATCTTCTTCGGTAGTCACTGTATCGTCATCTTCATCGGTATTCACTATCTCGACGTCCTCTTCATAATAGTCTTCATCCTCAAACTCTGGAAAAGGACTATCTTCAACAGTCGGTTCTTTGTTGTGAGGATTTCCAAATTGAGCATTGGCAACGACGAAAAGTAACGCAAACAAGACAAGCACCTTCATGTTGAGCACTGCGTTCTCAACCGATGTGTCACACTACGTAAACGTCTCAAATATATATAACTAAAAGAACTTGTAATATGAAACTTAACGGCCCCGATGGTGCGACTACAACTCAGATAAACCCCATCAGTACTTAGGGGCAAGTCACGCGTGTACATATCAAATGTCTTTTGTTTGGTTCAAAACGGAAGAAAAACGGATATTTTTAATGAGGTATCTTTCCTGTCCAACCCAAGTATATAGCTAACCTTTCTCGAGGGCTAAATGACTGTTTCCTTTGYACAAAGGAATTGACATTAAATCTTAACTTGGAATCGATGACCTTCGGAATCGTACGATCCATTTTAGGAGTGGCTCTGGCGTCATACTGACAATCAATCATTATGTTTCAGTTAGGTAAATAACGAGGTCGTCTTACGATCTTGCTGTGAGTTTGCATGTTTTGACACTGTTAAATTGAGACTTTGACTGATTGTCAAAATTAACCTGTGAAAATGGGATTAAAAGGGACAGTCCACTTTAAAGATAAAAGCTGGTAAAACAGGTTTTGTAAGTGCGCAATTACGGCACCCCATGCGTCTTTTTAATGTTGCGAAACTACTCGTAAAAGTACATTATAAGGTATTTTTTATGACATCATCGTGGCGGTGTGTTGTCCTACAGAGCCGTTATTTGTCTTTTCGCCACGTTGTTTGTGCCTTTTCGCCTTCATACTACATTAAACCTGCCAATGTTACAATAACGAGTAAAATAATTACCTAACTATTGATTTAAAAGTAGCTGACAGAACCTTTTACATAACGTCAAGCTGTGAATTCAATATAGGCCCTGACATGCACCTCAAAGTATAGGAGAAATTGGTGTTTATGATCTGTCTGTGAGACCTTTTGCTCGCTCAAACTGCTGATAACAATTAGACATCAAGGACTTTTGGAGAATTTATTGAGTAAAAGTCTTGAAATGAGAATATTAGGTTGCATGGCCACTTAATAATAATACAACAAATAAAAAGTGCAATAATAAATCAGTCCTATTAAAATAGATAAGGAGAATGTTGTCCTTTTGCAAGTTATCTTTATAATTTTTGATTAAGTGAATAACAAATAATGGCCCGAGTTCTGTTGTAACCAAAGTAGAGTGGTTTGAATAAACCCGTGAAACAAAGTAATAATAAGAGTGTAATAGATCGTAATAGTCGCATAGAGACAATAAAAAACAAAAGAGCCAAAGTGTAATAGCAATAAATACGCTAAAGTGTTTCACGGGTTAATGAAAACCACTCTATTGAAGATCAACACTAAGTATTGCTTCTCATATGCCGAAATACGTAGTTATGAGCTTTGGGAAATGATAAATATTTTTACATTTCATTAAAAAAACCGTAAATACTACGAACGTCTTAACACTTATTATCTTACAATAGTGGTATGAACCAAAAACGGTAAAACATCTACATCTACATAGTTCAAGCACTTAGCACTGTTCATAGGGTTATACTAGCTGTAAATGATSAAACAAACTAGCTGCAAATGATGAAATCTCATCCACAACCTAGTGCACTTTTGAAAGCAGCTCGAAAATCTAAGCAAAAAATCGCATAAATCAWACTATTAAAAGTTCCATTTGATACGGCTATTATACTAAAAGCAACAACGCCTCCAACGCTGTGGTATTCATAGTTTAAACGCATAAAGTACACAAAGCAAACAAGAAAAAAACTCGGAAACCAGCACACGTTAAAAACAAGCATAACACAAACTATCATTTGGATGAATTTCTTGGCAGTTTTTACGTGTTCAGCGGAATGACGGTGATCAGCGTTCTGCACACGCGCACCGGGTAGTCGTCTTGTGCATAGCTTGTATGCGATCATGACGCACATCATTACCATGGCAACATGAGGTATWATATATCCCAGAGAAGCCACAATGGCAGCCTCTAAGGTGGCATCCRATGCCACGGTGTACGTTTTATTGTCATTRAGAGACTTGATTTCAGCTATTTTGATATTTGTGAAAATKAGATGCGAAGGAAGGGTCAACGATGCAATCCAAACTAATGGTACAATATACTTTGTCCAGGAAGAACTGCACTTGTACTTGAAAGGGTACACTACAGCCATGAAAAGGTCAAATGTTATAGCAACAAGGCTGTATACGGAACACAATATTGATACTAGTTCGATGTAGTAGAACAACTTGGAGATGAACAGTTCGAAAACTCCAGAACTCCATTCCAGTCCGCTAAATATGTACTTGGTGGTGTAGAAAGTAACACAAAYTGAAACGAAAACATTAGCAAAAGCCATGTTAACGATGAAAAACATCCTCGTTGTACGCATGCGCTTGTTTTTATTCACTCTGACCACATGAATGATGAGACTGTTTGAGAACAAAGAAACCAGACAAGCGRACACCATCAGCGTTACGAGGRTCGGTTTGGTGAACTCATGGTCGAACTCTGGACGTTGAACGAGTGACATATCTAAACATCAGATRAGCAAAAAAAKAATAAAACAGGACGATACGCAAATAACGATTTCTAGAAATRAAACAAGTAAACAATTTATTGTGAAACGCCATTTGTACGTTGCGACTGCAATTTTGATTCGTTTTTAATGTCAATAGTCGATGAATACATGCGTAGTATGACAAGTTCATCTGGTAAACCCTTATCACAAAGTCTGCTGAAGAACGCGAATAACAAAAATTGCTGAGTCAAGAGATTACAGGGGGGCGTATGAATGTCTTCCCAGAGCACTAGCAACTGATAAATGACTCAGCTTTAATTCCAAAAGAAGATTATATTCTCATTTTTTTTTCAGTTTAATTTATAGATCTACTGAATATTCACCATGGGCGTAATAAACAAATAGTCTTTTCGATGGCAATGTTTGAAAAAAAAAAAACGTTTCCGAGCTTTTTCGGTCCATTTTGAAGAAAGACCAGTGTAGATTATCCATCAATTGAAATCGAGCCAAAAACACTGGGGGCTGTTTTATAAACTTTATCATCGACTTCACTTTAAACATTTCATTATTCAAATTAAGCGTAGCCTTTCTTACACTGTAACAAGTCATATGGGTGAGAAATGGTGATCACCGCCTTACCTTTCACTTTCGCATTGTCGCCAATAGCATTMTGAACTGAACTTTTATTCATGCTGAAAATCKGCTGTGTTGCGATAGTGTCTTTTTTCTAGTTCACTCTGATCCCTGTCTTTTTTATTCTCCGAATGAATATGCGGATCCCACCGAATACAATCATATATCATGCTACTGTCAACCAATATATTAATCATAAGTATTTGCTGATATTCTTCGATTTTAATTAAAATACATTAGACGGAAAATACAACGGTGCATCAAACGTCAGTTAGAACTATAGATTTTAATCATGTTTGATAAAACATTTCGCCCCAGGCAATCCAACATTTCATTAACAGTGATAAATAACAGTATAAATTGCTTTATCTCTAGATAGATTATTGATTGCTGGCGGATCTCTCTGTTTGAGGCCTACGATAATGAAATTTAGAATCAATAGAGTAATACATGTACAAATAAACTGCATGGAACTGGCCTGAAAGAAGATTACTACGTGGGCTGCAATTCAAGACCAGCTGTGCATATGGCGACTCATCACCGCGTTCATGCGCACAAGGAGCTAAGATTTAATTCTTCGCTTAACAAAATCAGAGGGGCTTTTTTGTAGCCTGGGTTCTAGCCTTGACTAGGGCATGGGTAATGCACCCCTTAAAAAAATGTGAAAAAAATTCGAAAAAATGTGAAAAAAATGTGAAAAAATGTGAAAAAAATGTGAAGTAAAAGTGAAGAAACAATAATCTTTGGAACAAGAAACGACAGTTTTCTATGAAGCATATAAACTCAAAGAACCATTTTATTTCTCAGAGACTGTTTCTTTCCAATGAACTACGCAGTTATCTATTCTTGAGATGACCTGTTCAGTTTTATAATTGTTAATTTGGTGTCGAGTTCTCTTCTTTGACATCAAGTTTTCATCCAGCTTCTCTAGGTTTGCTCCGCCGTCATAAAAACTAAGAAGTACCATAGTAGTATATGTGCTGAAATAATTCTCAATTCGCATCTGGGTAAAGTTACCTTGGCTTGGCTTGACTCTAGGCAAAGGTGACTTGACATGACTTGGTGTATCGAGGCTTATTTTATGCCCGGCCCGGCGTTGTTGGATTCACAGAAGGGCCAATTCTATTCAAAAGTCTACTTTTCAATCCAATTATCTTATTGATTGCGGAGCGTAAAAGAGTTTTGAAAGCAAGTCTAAAGTTTTTCCAGAAGACAACATAGATCATAATATTGATGGGTCCGTTACACATGATTAYAAYAGTCGCAATCGGAAACGTAAGAGGACTATGAAATTCATACATAACAGGTATGTAGTAGTAGCAATAAAAAACGAAATAAACAGGCAACCAACAGGCATTGAATGCAATCATCATGCAGATCATCATTCGAATAGCTTTTCTTGCCATTTGGTGGACTTGTTGGTATCTTTGAGCATCGTGACCATTTCCAGGAATACGTCTGGTTGACAGTTTATAAGCAATGAGGACATATAAGAAGAGTATGACAACGTGAGGGAAGACGTAACCAATGCTTGTTATAACTATACCGTCATGTATTCCATCCATAGTAACAGTTATGTATGTTTTGTTATTCGGYAGAATGTCATTTCTAGWTTTTATCTCAACAAAGGCATATTTTACTGGAATTGACAGGGCAACTAACCATATAGCTGGAATCACATATTTTGACCAGGTMGATCTGGTCTTATACACCAGTGGACGGAAGACAGCCAGGAATCTATCTACTGTGATTGCTACAAAACTGAAGACTGAGGTCAACATCATTACACAGTTTATGTAAAAGATGAATCTAACTACAAATAAGGCAATTGGTCCTGGGAACCACTCTAAACCCTTATAAAGATGGTAAATACCAGTTGATGGAGGACCAACGGTTGCAATAATGTCAGCACAGGCCATGTTTACAATGAAGYAGTTGGTTGTATTGTGCATGTGTCGGTTGACTCGTACGACATGTATGATGAGGGCGTTGCACATAAAGGAGATCAAAGCGATGACGGCAAAGACGGACAAGAAAATCGSTATYGTAGCATCGTTGGAAAATCTTGGCGCCTCCAGAAAGTTCCTKATATCTGTAAATGTATGAAAATGAACTATATACATTRTGGGAGTTTTAATATTCCTTAGGACAGCTCAAATCTGCTATTGTGCCATTTTATTGCCGAGATGTAGGCAAATCAGCTTTTTTGCAGTGATAAAGTGATATCTAAAAATGATTTCCTGACACCTATCTTAGGGCATGATTATTCACTTTTTGCCTCCTTTTGTTAGTTTGAGAATAACCCTCATACCGATACCAAACATCTTTGGTGAAGAAAGAAACTAACTGAAATGATCATCTAGAARTAATCTCAACCACAGAAACGAAATTAAACTGACAGAAACCCTCTTAGAACGCACCGTTCTTGTACATACATGTTTACGAGGAATTGAAGATTGAAAAATCCACMATTTTTAAGGCAAGGTGTAGCCTTAGAGGGGCAACAAATAAAATCAGGGATTTTAACCCTCCCAAAATGRCCGAAGAAATATCAYATATACATATTAAGTTTCTTACGTTGAATCTGCAGTCCATTTTTGTCAACTCCGTCCATTTCTTGAGCTTTAGTTAATATACGTAAAATAATAGAGTTTTTTTCATGGAAATAGAGCTACTTCTGACTTTCTGTTTTCTGTAAGTGCCATCAATGAAAGAAGAACTTTCTGTTAATACCTCTTTATAAGGTTCAAAATTAACATATATATAGTTTGAGTTGTCGTAGTAGCTGATTTCAAAACATGTCCAAATATGGTGGTATTATTTSGACTATCTTTTGAGAAAATCTCAAGATGGATCAGATGCGAACTGAAATCGACACACGAAATGTAAAAAAATAAATTATGAAACTGTAAATGTTGCTTATAGTGATACGCAGAAATGTCATTACCAAAAAAAGGATGTTTCACTTGATCAGTRACTGAGTATTGTCAGGAATTATGATATTGCGCGTGATATTGGTACCTATGCAAACTAGGTTTGAAAGCCCGATGGCAGCTATTTTCTAATTTAAATGTAAATGATAACAAACGATGATGACATCACTGTGAATAAATTGGGAAATAATMACGACGAAAACCAAATAAGGATTGACTGACAAAACTGCATTATGACCRACAATCAATGGCAACAAGTAAAATAAAACAGCTCACAACAGCGATTCTACATGTCAAAATAATTARAGATACAAAATATAAGACCATCTTGCAGAAGAATGCACCATTACATAGGAAAATAACTGAAGATAWATYTATCCTTCGCCATTTTTATGGCCCAGATCCCGCTCGTCCTGAGACTTTTCTCTTGAAGCTACACTCAATGAAACTTTATAATAAGACAAACCCGCCAATMAAGTTTTTAACCAACTTTTGAAAGTCACCGAAGTAATGACAAACAAATTTGTTATCATCTCAAAGACCATCCAAAGCCTGGTTCATCTCAGCTTGAAACTCTTTGAACTTTAATAGAAGTCTTTCAACTTGAATGGTTTATGCTATAGGCGGTAAGTCTTATTCGGTAATCCTAAAGTTTTATTCTGTTTGTCTTCACTTTCTTCAACCTATAATATATATAGATATATATAAATTCATATCAAAGAAAGATAAAAACAACCATATTGTTTATTTGTAAATTTGATCGACGAAAAAAAATAATCATGAGACAGCAAAACGAGTTCAGCTGGAGTGATTCTTTTTTTGTTTTTTTTGTTTTCCTCACTAAACCCCAAGTGTTCAATAACTTTTTATTTGAATGAGAATGTTTCTCAGTACTTTCTTGCAAGGAGAAAGAGAAAAAATGTCATATATCAGTCGATTTTTGACATTCGACAGTTCTTGCTGATTTGTGATTTTTCGTCGTTTCTTAAATATAAACATCTATAAACATAGTATCATTATTCCCAAATGAAAACAATGGGCATCCAATCAAAATTAACAGAAAAGATGAGTTSAAAATATTGCAAACAGCAGGAAGAGTGCAAGGATTYGTTATGTAATAACTAATGAGAATTACCGAATTAAACRAGAAAACTCTGGGATTCTCGCAGTTGTAATGTTATGATCAAATCCAAGCTCAATGAATCGATTTATTATTCTCATKGTAAACGTGTAAAGGAATTTTGCAAGGTTTGTACAATCATATAATGTTTCTGCTAACATTATAAAGTATAGAAAAATTTCTTAACTTTATAATTAAAGAAAAACATGTTTTTGGCTTTCAGTCATGCATATATAATGAATTTTTGGCGAATTTTCATTAATTTTTACCGTCATGGAATTTGCTACTTTTGTCAATTTCGACATTATACCGACAAAACACACAAAAAAAGTTCATGGAGATTAAATTTCGACTTTAAGATACACAGCACTCGCGAGTACGGGTACCTGTAAGTACGGCTAAACGACCTCTTATACCGGAGAAAGGGATAGGTTACCGGGTTGACAGGTGATGACATTATTGCACTTAGGAAACCATGGTCGTCTTTTGTTTTAATTGCGAGATAAACATGCTCACCTATCCGTATCTGTAGACCGAATCGATGTATCTTAAGGTCTCTATGAACAATAATACTATACAACATATCATCTTCAAGCCCGCCCTAAATGATATCTTTCATCCTCGATTCATGCGAACTTTTTTTCTTTAACTAATTTCATTACTTAAATCAATATTTATCAATACTTCCACTTGTAACAGTTTCTCTATATATCTTTCATAATTTTATCTGTCTTATTCCCAGAATATTTTATATTCTTAGATTACAAAGGATGACGAGAATGCCATTGCCTTATGAATTCAATCACAAAGAAGGTGATGGCATAGTCCGCAACCGTCTATWCGATTTGAACATCTACCCCAARGAAAACGAGTTCCAGAATTTTCCACATGATGAAGRAGAAGCTYCTAATCTTTCTGGAGARGTTGATTGTAATCAATACCCATCTTACATTGTTAATAGCGAAGACATTACAACAGAAATGGATTATTGTAGTGATTTCAGCAATSAYCGAACTAACCAAACCGATTATTCGTTCGAGAATGTTGGATCAATAAGCGATTATTATAATAATTTGAGCGAAGACGATCAAAGCTACCAGGACAATATACCGATCATTTTCCCAAATATTTCCAAAGCCTTCGTACCCAGGAGAACTATGTCATTGGGAACGGGCATGCGCACTCGGTCACCTAAACATGAAGATCGCACAGAGAAGGAATGGTATTCGTCGCTTCTTAAACCTTTTAAAAAGTTTAGGAATCTTTTTAAAAAGAGCCCCAAAAAGACAGTTATAGAGGAAGACGACGATGTTTTTGATGATATTTCCAGTGATGACTTTTATGGAAGTGTGTCGTCATTGAAGTTTAGCAAAGCGTTGGATTATTTTGACATGCTGTATTAGCGCATGYTAAATTTTGGATCATCAGACCTTGGATTACTAAAGATAGCGCARAAAGGCTCTGGACTCCCGTTATATTTATACATAACCAGAGTGTAACATCCTCATGTTTAGAAAACARCATCAYAAACTTCARAAKTCAAYATATTTYATKGAACCACGCATGTATAKAGCARTGCCAGTAAACCCGTGAAWTAAAATCTGACTCTGTTTATAAGGTGTTATAGTCAAATACTAAAAAAAAGAACACTAGAACAAAAGAACAAATATTGTGCAATATATATTTATCAAGTTTTTGACCCCTTTCTTTAAATGAGAAATATGATATCTTATTACAAAAATTACAATGTGCAATAAAAATAATTACAAAATATCGGTCTCAAACTGAAAAAAAGAAGTATACATATGAACGTGTTATAATTTTGATAGCTTAAAAACACGAAAACATATGTTAAACAAAAAAATTGTAAGAACATGTCAGAGTTTTAGGAAAGTGAGAGAATTTAAACGTCTGAGATCAGATCCARCTGTGATCATAAATGAAGCAAAACAACATCAAAAACACCATTTTCTGACTTTACACTGGTCTTATCTTCATTTCAGCTCTCTTAGCGGAATAGTAATGACCCTTCCACTGATACCAATTCACACCGTCAGCATATGACTTGTGCTTACCGTGGTGGTACAGACCATTAAGGTTGGAGCGGTGGCAGCCAGCGTACCACCAGGCACCCTTGAACTGTACAGCACAGTTACCACCGTACTTATCATTATCACGATCTTTGGTGGTGAAAGGTTGGCCAAGATGACTGGACAATGAATCGCCTGCAGTACCTGGAAAATAGTGTCGGTTATTAAGCATTATCAATAGACTGTGCATAGTATTGTGGTTTTATGGAAAGCAAGCTCTCTTAATTTCCCGACAGGCANCAATAAACCCATGAAATAAAATCAGACTGTTAAGGTGTTATTTAACAATTAGATGTCGATGGCGCCAGTGGACTGCGAGTTGATAGCCCATGAGGCCGAAAGCCGATTGATGGTCTATCAGCTCGTAATCCACTCGCCCTCGAGATCTAATTGTTTTAGTATTTGCATACTAGTTGGACAAAAAATGAATGAAATATATAAATAATTACATGTTTTTATTGCTAAAAATACGCAAAAAGTTGTCGCTTTTCACTAGTCGAGGACTATTGGAAATAGACCCCGAGTAGCGTAGCCAATCAGAACGAGGGATTTGCAATAGTCCACTAGTATGGTAATACTAAAGTCAAATAGACACAAAAGAAAACTAGTTAAAAATACTGTGCAATATATATTTGACAAGTCCATGACCCCATCCTTTTTTTAATGAAAAGTATGACCAAATTACAAAAATTACAGTATGCAATAAAAATATTTGCAAAATATCGGTCTTAAATTATTCAAAAAAAAAAAAAAAACAATATGTATATATAAACGTGTAAGAATTTTTAAAGCTTACTACAAGTTATAAGACTATATATATTGTAATCACAAATTTGTTAGAGCATCAAAGAGTTTTACGAAAGTAAGAGCTTCAAACATGCACAGGGCTRAATGAAAATATAATGTCAGAGTTCAGGTAAAACTGAGATTATATAAATGTGGCAAAAAAATGTGACTTTACACTGGTCTTATCTTCATCTCAGCTCTCTTAGCGGAATAGTAATAACCCTTCCAGTGAGACCAGTTCACACCGTCACCATAGGACTTGTGCTTACCGTGGTGGTACAGACCATTAAGGTTGGAGTCGTGGCAAACATAGTACCACCAGGCACCCTTGAACACTTCAGCACAGTTTCTACTCCACTTATCATTATCACGATCTTTGGTGGTGAAAGGCATACCACGATGGTAGGACAATGAATCGCCTKCAGTACCTGGAAAAAAGTGTCGGTTATTTTAATAAAAGCATTATCAATAGACTGTGCATAGCATTGCGGTTTTATGGAAAGCAAGCTCTCTTAATTTCCCGACAGGCATCTTATTGATGTTAATAGTTGAAAACGCGTCACAATAAAGGACTATTTTGACCCTTTGAATTCAGATTAGGTCATTTATATGCGTTTCCAATGCAAATTACCTGAATATGAGCCCACACTCAGTCTGTACTTGTTGGATTCATCATCGATACTAAAACTATCATACTTGGCATACACCCGTCCACCTTCCCAGTCATCAAGCTCTACTCGAAGAATTTGTTGTTTCTGTGCTGTAAGTCTATGAATGTAATCATTTCCCAACCAGAATTCTCTATTCAAATTTCCAAATCCTTTTTTATAGTCTTTCCAATTGCGATAAAAGTCCACTGATCCATCCTTTCTTCTCTGGAACACAGTCCAACCCCCGCCGTCAGTTGCCATATCGCAATACACTTGAAAAGGGCTTCCATCATCAGGTTTTATTGTATACACACCGTTGCTTCGTTCTCCATTTTTATAGAACTCGTAACAGTCTTTCGCACATTTTAATAGGGTTGACTTGATAGTTATATGAAATACTCCAGCACTTGTAGCAGAACACACATAAACACCCACATCAGTATTACAATTAAAGTTGTTTATGATCAAAGAACCATCCCTTGTTTCGTATCTACCAGCTGGAAGGTTACCATTTTCTCTCGACCAGTTGATAACTGGTTTAGGATCGCCTTTGGCAGAACAGTTAAGCAGTAGCCGTGAGCCAGATTTTGGACAGTATGATGCCAGAGGCTTTGTCACAAATACTGGCAACTGGACAACAACAAGAAATAATCTCGAGACAGCAGAGCCTAGAAGATTTTCAGCTTGACATAAGTATATTCCTGAATCATCCTAATTTGTTTTAAACAAAGTTAAATGTCCATCCACAATACTGGCAATGATAATTGTCTTGGCAATGTACTAATTGCCTTGGACCACGTGACCTTTGGTTTTGGATTTCCCGTTACTCGAAAAACGGGTAGAGTAACGTTATCGCCAATTTTTACGTAGAATGGTCCTTTATTCAACGTTATTTGTGGATTCGTGTAGACTTTTAAGCTCGAAGCAGCATCTGCCTTTCCAAGGATATTTGATGCTTTACAATAAAAGGTTCCAGAGTCATCTGAAGTCACATTCTTAATCTCAAGTSTGCCGCTATTGTCATTGAAAGACCTATCTAAAGGTAAAGAACCGTTCGCTTTACTCCACGAAATAACAGGTTTTGGATACCCACTGGCGGCACAATGTAATATAGCGGTATAACTTTCATTAACAATTAGTACAGGAGGAGATACCATCATTGTCGGAGTAGCCAGAGATAGTCCAGGGTCACCTTTAGGTCCAGGCAGTCCACGAGGACCAGGAGCTCCATTTAGTCCAGGTACCTTGTAGTCCCCTGCGTCCTCTCTTTCCAGCAGGGCCGACAGGACATATTTGTGTGCAAGTTTTGAGTGATTGTTGACTTGAAAGAAGTCTTGTTAACTTTTCATCAATGAGTGACAAATATTCCTGAGTTTTTTTAACGGCTGATAAACTGAAGCCAGTGCTTTTGAGTGGATGTTGAAAGAGTTCTCTTTTACGTCTTTAAGTTATTTTGCCTGCTCTCGATGTCGAGATTTATCTTGCAATTCCTTCAGCTTGAGCTCGATACGTACAAACTCTGTACAGCATAACATGGCCATGAGTGTAATGATAATAGTGTTCTTAGAAAAGTAGCCTGAATGTACAACTTTCTCAGTCATAATTGCAGTACGTATAACACGGGCATGCTTACTAAGACATAGAGATGAATGTGAAATCAATATAACTTGTATTTTAGTCTTTCTAGAATATTCATGGTTGGACGTGTTATAATGCGACATGGAGAAGCAGAAATAAAGGGTCAAAAGACGTCTGGAAGTATACCAAACCTATCGCGATTTTTAGCACACTCAAGCAGTGATTTGACCTTGGCTTACATCGCATTGCTATATATCTATATAAATAATAATAAAAAACAAACAAACGAAAAACAAAATAATTAAAACAAAAAATAAAGGGGGAAATTAGTGCAAGAGAAAACAAAGAAAAGATTCCACTCTGCTCAAGAATATTGACACAGCTATCCTTACTTGCCACAGGAATCCTGAAACAGCATACTGAATATACGGATAGAGTGTCTTCGTTGAAGTTAAGCAAAACATCGGATTATTTTGACATGCTGTATTAGCGCTTGCTGTGTTTTGGATCGTCAGACCTTGGCGTACTAAATATAGTGCAAAAACGCGTTGGACTCCCTTTAAATTTATACATAACCAGAGTGTAAGATCCTCATGTTAACAAAACAGCATTACAAACTTCAAAAGTGAACATATTTCATTGAACCACTCATGTATCAACCCGTGAAATAGTATATTACTGTTAAGGTCAATCAGAAACAAATGAAAACTCTTAAAAATAATTGTGCAATATATATTTGACAAGTTTATGAGCACATCCTTTTTTAATGAAAATAATGACTTAATTACAAAAATTACAATATGCAATAAAAATAATTTCAAAATGTCGGTCTCAACTTTTGAAAAAATTAATATGTATATGAGGATTGTCCTGTCAGTCGGGACAATGATGAGGATGGACATCACAAAAGAGAGACAAAGAATTAAGACCCTTTTGATGCACCGAGCATGTATGAGTCGAAGCGTTTGGACGTCTAGATATTTCTGCAAAGCTAAGACCTTTTTTGTGATGTACTCTCTCATCTTGCCCTGCCCTAGGTATTACAGACAGCGCACGCAGGACGCCGCGAAACAACAGTCGCTACGCAGTTCCACAAGACCGCACCTTGACCGTCATATACTTCGCCCATAGTCCAGAACACAACGCGCGTTTGTTTTTTTCTTTGGTTATAAAAGCCGAAATTACTGATCAAAAGTCTGCCATTGATTAGAGACCTTCCTTGCAGACAGGACAATGATGAGGATTGAAAGCACAAAAGGGAGACAAAGAATTAAGAAGTTTTTGGTGCACCGAGTGAATAGATCGCGCCTTTTGGACGTCTAGATATTTCCGCCAGAGCTAAGACCCCTTTTGTGACGTACCCTCTCATATATAAATAAACGCGTAATGTTTTTTAAGTTAGAAGACAAAAATCATATTTTAATCAAAAATTTGTAAGAGCATTTAAAAGTCTTAGGAAAATAAGGGTATCTAAACGTGGACAGGGCTAAATGAAAATGTTTGAATTAGATCCAGCTCTGATCATAATTGAGACGCTTAACAGAGAAAATGAGGCAAGAAAATAATTTGTGGATTTACACAGGTCTGATCTTCATCTCAGCTCTCTTAGCGGAATAGTGATAACCCTTCCAGTGATACCAGTTCACACCGTCAGCATAGGACTTGTGTTTACCGTGGTGGTACAGTCCATTAAGGTTGGAGTGGTGGCAGCCCCTGTACCACCAGGCACCCTTGAACAGTACAGCACAGTTACTTCCGGATTTGTCATTATGATGATCTTTGGTGGTGAAAGGATTGCCGCGATAGTCGGAAAGTGCATCGCCTGCAGTACCTGAAAAAAGTACAGGTTAGGAAGGATTAATTAGAGCACTCAAAATATAACACAGCTTAAGTATTATGGAATAGTCACACTTTTTAATTCTCAAATTGAGCCTTGTAAAAAACAGCAACAAACAGCAACAACTTCAACAAAATTTACCGTTTGTCACCCTTTGTATTTAGATTTGACCACTTCCAAGCCTTCCAAATTTACCTGAATATGAGCCCAGGTTGAGCCTGTATTTATCGGACTCTTCACCAATACTAAAACTATCATACTTGGCATATACGCCATTTCCTTCCCAGTCATCAAGCTCTACTCGAAGTATTTGTTTTTTCTGTGCTGTAAGTCTGTGAAGATAATCATTTCCCAACCAGAATTCACCATTCAAATTTCCAAATCCTTTTTTATAGTCTTTCCAATTGCGATAAAAGTCCACTGATCCRTCTTTCCTTCTCTGGAACACAGTCCAACCCCCGCCGTCAGTTGTCATATCGCAATATACTTGAAAAAGGACTCCATCATCAGGTTTTACTGTATACACACCGTTGCTTCGTTCTCCATTTTTATAGAACTCGTAACAGTCTTTCGCACATTTTGCTAGTGTAGACCTGATAGTTATATGAAATACTACAGCACTTGTAGCAGAACACACATAAACACCCACATCAGTGTTAGGATTATAGTTATTTATGATCAAAGAGCCATCCCTTATTTCGTATCTACCAGCTGGAAGGTTGCCATTCTCTTTCGACCAGCTGATAACTGGTTTAGGATCGCCTTTGGCAGAACAGTTAAGCAGTACCCGTGAGCCAGATTTTGGACAGTATGATGCTAGAGGCTTTGTTACAAATGCTGGCAACTTGACAACAACAAGAAATAAACTCGAGACAGCAGAGCCTAGAAGATTTTCAGCTCGGCATAAGTATGTTCCCGAATCATCCTTATTTGTTTTAAACAAAGTTAAATGTCCATCCACAATACTAGCGCGTTGTCTTGGCAATGAACCAACTGACTTGTACCACGTGACCTTTGGTTTTGGATTTCCCGTTACTTGACAAACAGGGAGAGTAACGTTATCGTCAATTTTTACGTAGATTGGTCCTTTATTCAACGTTATTCGCGGATTTGAGTAGACTTTTAAGCTCGAAGCAGCATCTGCCTTTCCAAGGATATTTGATGCTTTACAATAAAAGGTTCCAGAGTCATTTAAAGTCACATTCTTAATCTCAAATCTACCGCTATTGTCATTGAAAGATCTCTCTAAAGGTAAAGTACCGTTCGCTTTACGCCACGAAATAACAGGTTTTGGATACCCACTGGCGGCACAATGTAATATAGCGGTATAACTTTCATTGACAATCAATACAGGAGGTGATACCATCACTGTCGGAGTAGCCAAAGATGGACCAGGTTCACCCTTAGGTCCAGGCAGTCCACGAGGACCAGGAGCTCCATTTAGTCCAGGTACACCTTTAAAACCCCGAGACCCTCGTTTTCCTCTTTTGCCTTGTTTTCCTGGTGGACCTTGTGGTCCCCTGCGTCCTCTCTTTCCAGCAGGGCCAGCAGGACATATTTGTGTGCAAGTTTTGACTGATTGCTGATTTGAAAGAAGCCTTGTTAGCTTGTCATCGATAAGTGAAAAATATTCCTGAGTTTTATTAACGGCTGATAAACTGAAGCGTGAGCTTTTGAGTGGACGTTGAAAGAGGTCTCTTTTACGTCTTTGAGTTATTTTGCCTGCTCTCGATGTTGAGACGACATGATTTTCAATGTTGGCGAAGTTCTTACCGTCGCGTGTCGAGGTCATTTCTTCAGAAAATTTCAGCTGACTTATATCTTGCAATTCCTTCAGCTTRAGCTCGATACGTACAAACTCTGTACAGCATAACACCGTCATGAGTGTAATAATAACAGTGTTCTTAGAAAAGTAGCCTGAATATACAACTTTCTCAGTCATAATTGCCGTACGTATAACACGGGTCTGCTCGGTCTGCTTACTAAGACATAAACATGAATGTGAAATCGATAACTTGATTATATTCTTTCTAGAAGAAGCATGCTTGGACACATATTTTGAAGGGTCAACAGACGTCTGGAAGTATATATTCAAGAATTATTTAGTAATTTGACCTCGGTTTATATGACATTGCTATATCTATTTCAAAATAGATATTAAACGCCSCATKTACGAGRATCCGGAATCCGTATCCTGGAWTCCGAAATCCAAATGTTTKGAATTCAGAATCCCAAAGACAAAAATTATTTKGAATTCAGAATCTTAAGGCTTGTTGGAATCCGAAATCGCCTAGTTCTCTGGATTCTCTTACATGAAGCGAGATATATCAGGAGATGCATCAGCAACAACAACTACAGAAACCATTCTGCTCTGCTCAAGGCTGTGTACACATTCGTCACAGAAGTCTCGATAAAGCTCGAAAAAGCCTGACAAAATCCTGACAAAATCCTGAAAAATATACGTGATCAGAGGAACTCTTCAGTTAACACTGAGTATGTTATGTTAACCTACATGGAATTCCCTAAGTCATTGTATAAATACCACGTGGCTTAGATTAGAGAGAGAGAAACAGAAATCAAACAAAATGGCGTCGCTGTGATTTGACTATTAATTATTGCAAAATAGCTTCCTGTCTGACATATCATCCTTTTGCTTTTCTGCTGGTCATTTTGAGGCGGGTCGATAGGACTCGGAAATAGCTATAGCATTTCGTTAAGATAGCAATAAAGACGTCAACATTTGAACCGGCGGTATAGAAATCTTCAAAATCAATAACGTCCAGCGTTTGAAATTTTGAAATCAGCTTTTTAATATCGAAATCACCCAMATTTTACATTTTGTATTTTTTGAAACCTAGACTTCCATGATATTCAGATACGATTATTAATGAAAAATTGTAAATCAAGGATTTGTTTATATTATGAAACCATTTTTACAGTAGATGTAGTCCACTTCATAAGCGGAAAGTTACACTTATTTGAAATTAAGGTTTTCCGGGTCAGAAGAAGGTCACGTCAGTGAAGATAAGACCGATGGGGAACATGGGAAGACAAATCAGGCGAAGGCACTATTTTCGTCTACAACTATCGTATATCTCAAGGTCGCGCAATCCTACTCGAATTGGAGCGCGCGGGTAAGACGACTACAATGACGCGAGACATGAAAAAAGTTGTACAATTTTGAAACACATTCAACAAAATAAAATGAATCGCTAATTGCATATAATCAGCTTAATTATCTTTTGTCTGCCCATACTCCTTTGCGGTCTTATTTTCGATGACGTAGCAATTTTCAATGGCCCGACAAACATTTTTCCATAAGGCGCATACCCGATGTCMGTCTTTAGCATATAKAGAGAACTTTTGTTAGTACACCTAGATGATTTCATATACCATGATAGCATTGTCTCCGTGGATTGCCCGTACTCCTTATGGAACAGTTTAGCATTTGGTATCTTCATATGTACATGTTGTATACTGGGTGTCGTATAAGTGAGTTGTACCCTGACTTCTATAACTACTACTACCCTGTCGACTAAACCTTGTTTTGCATCTAAACACAGAGCTAAAGGCATTCCTGAAATCTTTCTTGATGTAAATATAYAGAAGCGGATTCACAAGCGAAGTGCAGAATCGTAAGAAATCAATTACCAAATACCCATCCTCGGAGATGTTAAATGAAAACTTTCTGTCATAATATTTCAAGTATTGTTCAAAAACTGAGATRTACCACGTGACCCAACAAAATGCAAAGATTGCCAACATGGTTGCAAACACCGAAATGGCGCGAAGCTCAGCATATATTGGACAATAGTTTTGYGACTCCGTTGCAATATGCTGACGTCTGATTTCGGATACCTGACGATGGATCACGGAGAACATCTTTGCGTAGATGAATGTCATGGCTAGGAATGGGCACACAAAACACACAGTGACCCCAACACTATGATAAATAATGCCACCCATCACTTTAGTTTCAGTGGCGGAGTAAAAGTCGGTAACGTCGATCCAAGCAAGTTGGATGACAGCAAAGGAAAGGGAGAAAATCCAAATACAAGCAATCAAGCCATAGAGACGACCTCTTTTGACGACGTTGACATAATTCATGGGGTGTATGATGAACACATATCGCTCTACTGTRATGGCAAGTATGTGACACATTGTCGAGACGGCTATGAACCTGTACACCATACCTGAAGTGATTAAAAGCCATGAGATGTTGGTCACAACGCTACCRATGTACATTGGAATTCCAAATAACCCCATTGATAAGTCGCTTGCTGCTAGGCTCGCTAGAAGGCAGTTCGTTTTGGTTCTGATTTGAGGCTTGTAAATAAAGACAAAGAGAACCAAAGTATTGACAGTTACAATGAAGAAACTAAGTACACCGAGGAAGGAGTCATACATCAAATAATCTTCGGTGTAGAGAAAAGGCGCCATTGAAGTACTGTTGTTGCTCTTGTTTTTATTTTCCATAGCTGTGAATGTAACGCGATAATCGTGATWATCAAGCCTTCTTTAGTACTCTTGTGTAATTTTCAAGACAAGTACGAAAGTGTTTCCTCAAGCTTTCTTTATAGATAATGACACCTCTTTCGGCTTGTATTGGGCGTAATTAATTTTGCTAAGTTCTGTTTGAATAGGCAGGAAAGACAATAGCAATGCTTTGGCACTTTCACTATTCGTATAACCAAGTAGAAATCTCTATTGTTCTTAAAGGATGTTGTTAGCTTCTGTCACCAGGAGACCATCAACAGTGCCAGCAGCCTAGGGTATCTGAATKCCGTAAAGAAATATTAATTAAGTTTAAGTTTGACGAATGAAAAACAAAAATGTACAAGTAGATTGGATAAAATCGGAAAGAATTASCACAATCGATGGATTTAGTTAAATATAATATCTGGTTTTATGAAGTAATTTTTCTAAAACCACCGTAAATTTAAACCTTTTTAGTTTGAATACCTTATATTTGTTATGACCAATTGACGTGATAATTGTTAAATACTTAAAACGAGCTTTTCTTAAATTAGAATTAAACTTCGTCTTTTCAAGATTCCGAATCAATTCCAATTCACATAGTCCAATGAAAAAATGTTTGTCAGCTTTTCTTTCTTCTCGCTTAGCCGTTTTTAATAAATTAAACCCCACCACAAGAAAAACAGTAGAGAAAGAATATCGTACCCGTTAATTACTTCAAACAAAGAAAGTTACCTCAGAAATACATTCAAATCGTCAAAAACGTTTTCAGGTGTAGTTGTTTGTACCGTCCTGCAGCAAGAAATGAAACGCCAAATGAAGAAATACTACTTTTCTAATATCTCTTAACTTGAGAGCTCTTCAGCTACAGCAGGATGCTCTAAGTCCAAATTGAGGTAAATATATACGAAATGAGAAGGTCCAGCCTATGAAAGACCGAGTCTTTATAAACATCAGCATAAGTTTGGCAGTCTTTTGTGTCTTGTTGACAAAAGCTTGTAGATTAAGTAGGACTGCACAACAAGCTTTAGTGATTACGTTGTCGGATTTTCAATGAAAATTTTTAATAAAAATACGCTTATAATTAAGACTAATTCTACATGTTTTTTTGGCCACACCGAAGATATTTGAGGGACGTAGAGCGATGTTTGCAAATCTAACGAAAAAGAAATTGCCATAACAAACTACTTATTAAGATGATCGCTGAGAGGAAATAAAAACAGGAATATGAAAAACTTAATTTGTCGATATTCTTACTAATAAAGAAGCTCAGTTGTTTTCAAGATACTTTGGTAGGTTTCAAGGAAGTTATCTAGCATTATGTTACAAGCGTTTTCAATTAAAAAACTCTTTGAATTAAAGACTATTCTTCATTTTAAGATAAAAACCTCGGTAAAACTTGCGCAACGTCAGTCAATCAGTTACTTCCAGTGCATGACATAAAGTACTTGAAAAAGTTTGATTTTCCCCGGCTTTTATTTTAATTAATTGTATCACTATTTACAAACAGAAACCTGAATATTCAATTTACATTTCTCAATATACTTTACGCGAATTCACATATAATTATTTATTAAACATGTCTCTATAATTATATTAGCAAATGAAACCACGAAAAARAATTGCTTTTCAAGATGCTCTGAGAAATCTAAGAGATTTTGAGACCAACAAAYTGTGTTTGCTTTCCGGCGCACATTYGTGTGTAGTGATARGTTAATGGCGACCAAATATCAAGCGTATCTTCTAATCTTGACACATTTGTAAAGAATGGGACTACTAATCTGTRYTTGCTTTTAAATTTCAAACCTTTAATTGACAATTTGTACAAACAACATTACATTCTAATTTCAGGACGTCATAAATCTGACATGTTCAAACATACAGACCATGAGCTCGTTTGGAAAGATTATTTTGAAGTCTATCTTTCTAATGGTTCCTTTTGCTTACAATTCTGCGCCATCTTGACAGAWAATTGTCCCAATGAAATAAAACAAGACGTCATCAATAAAAAAACTTCCATACAAAGACAGTCGTAGATCAGTAGCTGGCTATCTGAAAATAGTTTAGCCTTAACAATTAAAAAGAAATCTTGTTTTTACGCATTTGTTTTTTAACCTCAATAAAAATGGATCAACGTATTACAAATAAATGTATTAACAAGAATATAGTAAATCTACAATTTTCAGGGTTTTTTTAGTTCAGTTAAATTCTATAAACAATTTTTCAAGCTTTGTCGCTTTTACGATGCTTCTTTCTGGGCGATTTCGCGGTCATTAAAATCAAGTACTGCATGTGGTTTACAGAAATGAAAATTATTCCAATGTTTCCAACAGAGGCTGTGAAATTTGATACCTCATCGAGCCACATTAGTCACTGAAAGCCATTTCTCAATTCTTCAATGTCTTTCTAGGATGCCATTGACTTTGATTCTTCATTTCCGCGTTTTTACTAACCTTTTCCTCCTTTTAAATCCAAGGGTCTTTTTCGTGTTGTTGACATTAAAAATGAACAGGTCATTTTGCACGTTTTTTTTAGAAAAAAACAAAACAAAACAAAACTGAATTTAGAATTAAATTGCTTGGAAAATTTATATTTTTTCTGCTTTCATTTCGCGCTGTTGTTCAGTTGGACTTTTCTTCCTTTAGTTGCATTCTACCGGCGGGCTTATTAAGAAAAAGTGACAATTGACTCTTTTCACACTTTCCTTCCTGCGTTTTGTTATTTATTTCTTTTCTATTTTTTTCGTTCTTTTGTTAGGTATTACGTAAGGAAATTCTTCAATTCGTTTTATATTGGACATTCAGATATGTTCCGCTTAATATTTTCTTAACTTTCCCTTGAATTCCTTGTAAATTTTATCGAATCATTAATATTTTAGATGATAAACTGTTCATTTTCGATTTAGATATWGTTATTTTTTTGATGGAATCGTAATAATTGCATCTGTTGTGACATACATGGAGCACATTTCATTCGTTGCCGCTWATCATGCAATTTCAGAAACAAAAAAGAAMCAAATTTTTTGTCTGCTATGATTTACGATTGATATTCTTATTATCTAGTGGATATTCATAACATTTCTTACCTGTTAGCACTTTTTCACTAAACAAACTTAATAACCAACTAAAGACGTATTTACTACAGTCATTTAAGCTCAATTTTTGCAGAGAAAACCAAAAAGAAGACAAGCGAACAAATCGTCAAAACCATGAATATTGATGAGAATCTAAAGACACATTTGTTGAATCTTTTTTCCCGTGAATGCAGATTGATTTGAATCTTCAGTTAATGGGACTTCACTAGGTAACCGTCTTTTTATAGCGTATTTCATAGACTTCTCAGGTTTCTGAATACTAATAAAAAGAAACGGCGATGGTGAGGCTACGAAAAAGTCAACACAGATTATGAGAGACTGGTGCTATCCAGAGTCCAATATAAAGACATAGGAGTCATGATATATAGCGCTACAATGGAATTTTAAAAGTACTTTAAATTTATCAGCTTTCCATGATTTTATCGTTTATTTTTAAWAGCTTTTTGCTTCTGTTGTTTTTCTTTTTCGTCTWWTRT